TATTAAAGATTATTAAAAAAAAACTTTAATAAACGTTTACTCATTTTTTTAGACTCGCGAGCACAATTTTATTTTTGCTGCTGAACTAAAATGGTTTAAAAAGAACGTAATGAATTTACAGTTAATTTTTTAGACCAAACAGAGCACATTTTTATTTTATTTGTCTCGCGAACTAAAAATATTGACAGGACTCGTGAATGGTATCATAAAGACACCAAAATTAATGTTTAACTCATTTATTATATTTTTTTTAGTACTTTTCTAATAAACACAAAATTTTTGTTTAGTATTAATTTTTTTTCAGTATAACATTTTTTTCTTAGTGTTATTTTAGTATTTATTTTTATTTTACTATTATTATTATTTTTTTTAATATATTTTTTAAATAATTTTTTTTTTATGTATTTGTTTATATTTTTTATATATTCAAAAATTTTATTTTATGTTTTTATGTATTGAAAAATGTATTTTCTCACTCGATTTTTATTCTAAACTCGCGAGTGTTTATAAATTTTGAGCTAATACCACTTCCAGCCCGCAAATTGAGTAAAAGTTTTGTGAAATATTAAGAAAAACTCAAAAATTGACAAACTCTCATATCGCCCGTTTATGTTGAAAACTAAATTATAGACATTTAACACATTTACATGCGTAACTGTTAAAATTCTGCCAATATTCACGCATACTGCAGCAACAACTTGTATTAAACGAGTATTAGTAGAGTCTATTTCTGGAAACTAAGAACGCAAAGTTGTGAGTATGTTTAGAAAAAGTACATATTTATATCCATACAAACATAAATACGCTCGTTAAGTAAGTTAAATTTTAAAACGAATTTTGCGTAGACAAGCTAGAAATTGATGAATTTTTGCATAGAGGATGCAAAAACTAAAAAAACAAAAAAAAAACTTTAACAAACTAAAACAATAAAACAAAAATTAAATTATTCAAAACAAGTACTGACTAAGTAAGGTAAAGCACAAGTAGCTGATAATAAACAATAAATGAAATATATGTATATTAAAAAGGCAAAAGCACTCATAAAGGAATCACCAGGTCTTGGCATAAAAAAAGAAGAAATATGGTGAAAAGCAAGTTTGAACAAGACATACGAAAAAACGACATTGGAAAACTAGCAAACGGTATAAAACGTGATTTTACAAATACTTTGTAGAGCAAATTCACTAACGACAACTCAAATCCAATTCATAAGAAGAAAACAAAACAAGCAAAGTAGACAATTTTATCAACACTTCAAATCAATTACAATAAAAAAGCAGTTAATAATATGCAATTACATACTAATATTACATTATATACACACACAAGCATGCGTAAGAATAGTTCGAAAGAAATTGTACTAAATATTTGTTAATTAGCTGCTAAAATATTAAGTATGCATAAGTTATATCAAAATTAAATAATGCTAAAAACATGTGTACGCCAGCCAACACGCTACAGAATCAGACGCCCACAGTTATAGATACACATTTGTAGTTACTTTTTTTTTCATGTTCGTTTATGTGATATTTGTCTTATTTTATTTATCAAATTCTTGTTTCCATTTATTACATTATGTACCATAATTGTAGTCTAATTTACTAAAATTGTTTTTGTTTTTTTCTATTTTTTAATTTTTTTCTTCTTTTTTATTTTTTTCATTAAAAAAAATTTTTTTTTTCCATTATTTTTTTTATTAAAAACATTTTTTTTTTCAATTTCTTTCTTATATGTATACAGTTATATATATTTTTTTTTTTTTTTTTAATTTCTTTTATGTTTTTATTTCTTTATTGTCATCATCATTTATTATTAAATTTTTCTTCAAGTAATTGTGTTTTTTGTTACTCTATTTTTTTCATTTATAATTTTTTTTTTTCATTTTTTTATTTTTGTTATTTATTTCGTTATTGTCATCATTATTTATTATTAAATTTTCCTTCAAGTAATTTTGTTATACGCTTTTATTTAGTTAGTACTTATATACTTTTTTATAATTAAAATTTAGTTTTTACGATTTTATACTTTTATTTTAGGAAATTATATTTATTAAAATTTTTTTGAAGTTTTAATGGTTTACTAAAGTCTTTTTAAAAGCTTAATGCTATTCTTACCGTAATATTTTTTTCCCCTATACACGAAAATAATTGCATAAATTCGAAAAAAATAATCAAAATTCTATAAAATAATTGAATTAATTAAAATTTATTTTTTACGATTTTCTAATTTCTGATATTAATATTTAACATTTAAAAAAATATTTTTTTTTCTTGAATATTATATGTATTTAATTTATAAATTTAAATTAAAAAAGTAATTAATTTTTTTTTATTATATATTTGCCTTTTCTTTTTAATCATATACTAAAAATATATTTTTTTTAACTCGTTAATGATTGTTAAATTTTAAATTAAAATTTTATCATTTAAAAGTTTAATGTTATTTTTAAACTAATATTTTTTTTCATTACACGATAACATAAATAATATTTTATTGAAGCATTTTGCATAAATGTGACAAAAAATAATCAAAATTCTATAAAATAATTAAAATTAATTTTTTATTTGCTACTGTTTAATATTAATATTTAACAAATAAAAAATTTTTTTTTTGTTTTGTATATTATAGTTATTTAATAAGTTTATTATTTTTATATTTATAAGTGATATATTTATTAAAAAAAAATTTTTTTTTATCATAAAATCGCTTTATTTATTTTTTAAATTTTAACTCTTTATTAAAATGTTATCACAAACTTTTAAATTTAATGTTATTTTTAAAGTAATATTTTTTTTCCATATACACAATAACATAAATAATATTTCATTGAAGCATTTTGCATAAATGTGACAAAAAATAATCAAAATTCTATAAAATAATTACTACATTTTTTTAAACGCAAGTTTAAAGCAGAGATTTTTTTTCGAAAGATTCCTTCTAATTTTCTATGAAATAAATGTCTACCAGTTGTTGATGTGAGCAAATCGTGCGCGAAGCATTAAAATTATTGAAAAAAATCATAATTGTAATCTTAGCAATTTAAAGCGATATTGATATACATACAAACATATATATTATATAATATTTATAGTATATATATCCTCGTTATTTATATACCCCTGAAATTGTTATATACATACATACATACAAAAATGTGCAGTTATATATACTTACATATAGTCATATATATTTACAGCTGTATGTAAAAGACATACAAAAGAGAATCCGAAAAAACTGACATGCTAGCATTTAAGTGTGAATCTATAGCGAAATTACTAAAAAAACAATAGAGCGAGTATTTAATTGAAAAAACAAAAAAAAAACTAATTTTTAAGTTAGTAAAAAAGAAAAACTGAACTAAAACTCAAAATTTGCATAAATTTCATTTATCTTCCTGCGATTGTCAATACTAATTAATAATACAAATTTAAAATAATATAAACTAAAAATCATATATCGATTATTTCATAAAATCTAGCGTGAACAATTTAAAAAATTATATATATATATACATACAAGCAGAAAAAAACCATAAAAAAAATTAAAATGCATAAAATTTGTGCACACAGAGATCTGCAATGGATTTAACTTACGTTTTGTATATTTTTTTCGGTCTAGAGCTAATTAAAAACGTAAAAACGTATAGAAAACACAATAGTAGTTATATACAATAATACAAATATGTACTTATATACTTATGTGCATACTTTTGTATAAACCGAACTGTATGTACTGATGCTGACGATGAAAAAGAAACAAAAAAAAATTAAATTATTGAAACATTTTGTTATGATTCTAAAGAAAAAATGGAGAAAATAAAACTACGAGGGTAATTAATTAAATCGAATGTCTTTTATTTGCATATATCGGTAAGTATGTTAAATAGCATTTGTAATATGTATAAAAAATTAATTTAACAATACATTTATTTATTTTCCAATTTTATTTGCAATTTGGTGATTTTCCTAAAATCGTGATTTCCAGATTTGCCCCAAAAATTTAATTTTCATCAAAAACATTATTTTTATGCAAAACCAGCTTCATTCCACCCGACATGAAAAATCACGCGCTAATAATGCCAAAAAAAACTACGTCAACTGCTGCGCCAGCGCCAGCGCGCCGATCAGCTGCAAACCAAAATTAAAATTTCGCTCAAAGCATCAGGCGCGCATAATGTCGGAGCAAGCAGCTGTCGCGCAGAAAAATTAAAGTGACACCAAATAATGCTGCATGCTTTCAGGCGTTGCTCCACTACTGCATGCGTTCTCTGGCAAAATGAGCCATGCACAATACTTGTTTCATATCCTATTGCGCACGTGCTTGTCGGGTCATAATGCGCGCCTGGTGTTTTGGGCGAAATTTTAAATTTGGTTTGCAGCCACCGACTTGCTGGCGCTGGCGTCGGGATTAGCACGGGTCATATAAACGGGATTTTGCATGTTGGGTGTAATGAGGTTGTTTTTGCGTAAAAATAATGTTTTTGATGAACATTTTATTTTATTGTAAAAATACAGAAATCCCGATTTTAATCATCGGCGCGGGATTTTACATGTTGGATGGAATAACTGTGTTTTTGCGTAAAAATAATGTTTTTGATGAATATTTAATTTTATTGTGAAAATCCCGAAATCCCGATTTTATTCATCGGCGCGGAATTGTACATGTTTGGTGGAATAACTGTGTTTTTGCATAAAAATGTTTCTGATAAAAATTTAATTTTATTCTGAAAATACCGAAATCCCGATATTAAACACTGGCACGGGATTTTGCATGTTTGGTGGAATAACTGGGTTTTGGAATAAAAATAATGTTTCTGATAAAAATTTAATTTTTTTCTGAAAATACCGAAATCCCGATATTAATCACTAGCACGGGATTTTGCATGTTTGGTCGAATGACTGGGTTTTTGCATAAAAATAATGTTTCTGATAAAAATTTAATTTTATTCTGAAAATACCGAAATCCCGATTTCAATGTAATCACCAAATTACAGCTTTTGTCATCATTAAAGTTATATTTATTAAACATAATGCATTTCTCATAAAAATGTGTTCTTAAATCTATTAAAATATTATTATATACATATGTATGTATGTATATAACTTCATAACATCCTAATCACTTGCAGTGTTTTTGTACCGTCCACATATAAGTGGTATATTCAGTATATGTAACTCCAAACAATAATTATTCAATATAGCAATTCTAACAATTTTTTAATACAAAAAATTCTAAATATTAGATTTTTCGCATGAAACGGTTAAAACTATAGACTAATTCAATATGCACTAAATTTTCACTATACTTCTTACTTAAGTCATTAATAAAATATTTAACTAATTTGCACTTTGTATGTCACGTGGTCGTATCGTAAACATCAGCGGATCTTTTGTACGCATGGTCACTTCATTTGAAAGTTGGGGCTCCTGTGTCGTATCGCCTACATATGTTAAGTCGAAACTAAGTAAAATATTCACAATTGTCACTTTCATCTGCAGCAAGGCATATTTTTGACCCACACAGCTACGTGGACCCGCCGAAAAAGAGGTGAAAATATAAGGATTTAACTTTGAGTTATTTTCACACGCCACCGTCTCGAAACGTTCCGGTTTGAATGTGTTCGGCTCGGCAAAAACTTCAGGTTGACGTCCAAACACATAAGGTGAGAAGCCAATATTTGTGCCGGCAGGTATGAGATGATCATCTAGTTTTGAAAAAAAAGCCTGAAATCAAAGACAATTTTTCGGCAAAAATATATATGTACTTACTAATTTTGGTCTCCTCTACGGCTTTGCGGCCGATCAGCGCCACCGGTGGATACATGCGCAACGTTTCCTTAATACACAAATCCACATAGTACAGTTGGTTCAAGCGCTCGCGGCTCATAGCGACAGCGCCGATTTCTGTGCCGAACACGCTACGTATCTCGTCGTAGCACTTGCGCTGCCATACGGGATTGCTGCATATACAGTAGAAGTAGAACATTAACGCCGACGATAGCGTATCGTGACCGGCGAACATGAATGTGTGCACCTCTTCACATATATCCACATTGCTCAGCGACTTGCCGTCCATTGTTGAGTTGAGTAAAATGTCCAGCAAAGTTTGCTTGCGTTTTAAGCCAACCGCAGAGCCTGCCGCTTCGTGCAGTGGTTGTTGCGGCGCGTGCGTTAACTCTTTGCGTCGTTGCAGAATCACTTTATCCGCGTAACTGTTTATGATAGCGAGGGCGCGTTCCGCTTCTTTTGCTTTTGATGTGCAACGAAAAATGAAATCAAAGTAATACTTCATGTCAAACATGCGTAGGTGAATTATTGCTACGAGACTGTAGGAAATAAAAGAAAACGAAGGCGTTAAGTTAATGTGGTATTACTGAGAAGCGACCCCAATATTTGGTGACCCCAAACAGTTGGTCTAAAGTGAGAAACTCGAAACAATGCCAAACGCAAAAAAAAACTAAAAGGATGTAACTTTAATGTAACTATATAGTTGCCATAATCCGCTTCGAACTTAAGCCAAGTTAAGACTTGAGACGTGATTTCGAAGGGGAATTCAGCTTCTTCTAAATTTGCGTTCGCTGCAATTAAGTGGAATCCAATGAACGCCTGAAAGCTGTTTTAGTGCATAATGCTACCTGTCTGAGAGTTCTATATCGCATAGAGTTCAATCTGGTTTCAGTTGTTGATGCTCTACAGTTTTAAAAAGGACACCCTGCAGTTTTGGCACAAATTGCGTTGGTTTCAATAACAAGAACCGAAGTTTTTAATTACAAGAACCAATTTAACTTCGCCAATTGGGAAATCGGTAGTGAATCTGTCGTTCTTTGACTTCAGACGACCATCAGTTGGCTGTGTTTTAGCGATACGGAAAGTAAAGCTGCGTTGTGCGCTTGACTTCACTTTGCCATTTTGGCAAGTTTCGGAAGTGTATCTGTCGGTTTTTCACTTCAGACGACCACCAGATGATTGTTTTACATACATCCCAAAAGTAAAATTTCATTGTACGCTTGCACTTAATCTTATTAAGCTCTTGTTGAGCTTGATTTACCTGTGTAACGCCTTAACGTATTCAGAATCGGCATTACGTTGCGTCTCTAGCTGCACACCCATCGCTGTATCTACAATTGTATACATATATGTTAGTAGTAAAGTCAATAAATACAGCGAAACCCACCGCAAATCGTATCCAACATGCACAGGCCCAAAAAATGGCGCAATTCAAAGGGTCGCCCTTCAGCGCACAGTCCGCTCATTTGCTGCAGCAACTCTAATGAATGCTCCTGAAAGCAACTGAGAAAATCGTCCAGCAGCTTGAAGTGAAAAGTCGGCGACACGAGTTTACGACGCTGTTGATATTTACGGCCATGCGACAGCAGCAGTCCGTCGTGCATCCAGCATTTCATAAAACGATAATGATCCGATTTTACCGTCAGCTTATTGGAGCTAAGCAAAACTTCGACATCGTGCTGATCATGTAGAATTATATTCAATTGTGGACCCAGCCACAGGCGGTACGTCTTGCCATATTTATCAAACATTTCCAAACAGCGGCTTACAAACTCATGTGATTCGATGTTGAGAAAGGTTAGCGCATTGCCAATAATCGGCAACGCCGGTGGACCGCTAAAACGGCCGGCTAAGGCGTAGAGACGACCATACTTCGCGTAGCAATAGGTGAGCAATGCGACAAGCGAACTGAACACGAGTATTACGAAAACCGAAAACATATCGGCGTTTTAAATTTATGAAAAATATGAAATATTTATTTTTTATTTATTTTTTTATTAAAATTAAATACAGTTATTGATTTTGCGTTTGCGTTTGCGTAGCTTACGCGCACCGTACACACACGCTCTGCGAAAAGTTAGAAAACACTGCGTGCGAAAGTTGCGCTTGCAAGGGCATTTATACTGGTTAGCCGACTTCCTCGACCTACATACAGACATGCATGCATATTGATACGCAAACATTGAACTTGATCGATATCGAACGATTACGAACTAATAAATGTTATTAAACTTTAATTTAAATCAAAAAAGATATCATTGTGCAAGTACATACAAGTATATATGTATGTATGCATAGTATTATGTGTGTCGGCACTCTAGCTACGACTACACTAATCGTTTTAATAGTATTTAAGCATTAAGCAAGGAGGATCAGTCGCTTTACTAGCTAGGCGCGTAAATAGGTTAGTTCAGGGATGTGTCTGTACGAGCGTGGCTCAATAAGTCTCACGAAAGTGGCACAAAAAAGAACGCTGAAAACAAAATTCGGCCTGTTTATGGACGGATAACAGCGCAAGCTTTGTTGCAATGCTCGACGGTATAGGGCTCCTAAAAAATATAGTATTTTTTCTGCAGTGAGCAGAATACGGAATTTTTTTTTTTACAGACATTTATCAGGTGACATCACATGTACCGAATCGCACGTTATTGTTCGGTTCGTGGTTTTTTAGAGCGGTTTGTCCGAAGGTTCACAAAATCGCGAATATTCCTTTGCAGCTCATGTAGCTCATGTCTCATGTCATTGACGATCCAAAATACGTCGGCGTTTAAATCGGCCTATATGTATATTGGTCCAAGCGTTCAATTTGTTTTTTTTTTTTAATTTCTAGATAAAAATACCCCCTTAATAGCCCCAATCCGTCGTGCTTTACAAAGCATGGATTTCGTTGGAATCAGTCAAACTAAAGAATTCCAACGAAATATAAGCTTTGCAAAGCTCGACGGTTTGGGAGTATTCTTATCTAGAAATTTAAAAATATCTCGCTAAAATAATTTTTCGAAATTCATATTATTTCCGAAGTTATAGCCGTTTTAGTGTCGTGGCAACTGAACCGGTAAACGTTAACGTAAAACTTTAAACGCATTTTTCTCGAAACTACTTTTTTGAGGTGGTTGACATCATACCTATCTCAAGTTTTACTTAACCGATTCCTTTGAAATTTTATAAAAATCTTTTTTATACATTTCTTTTTTGCGCCTGCCTCGTATTTTGGACAATTTTAATTTCAAGTATTTTTAAAAAATTCGAAAATTAAAAGAAAATAAGTTAAAAATTTTTATTTCAAGTCGACGCCATTTTGGAAAAAATCTTTAAAAATATTTTTTATACATTTCTTTATTGCGCCTGCCTCGTATTTTGGCAAATTTTAATTTCAAGTATTTAAAAAAAAATCGAAAAGGTAAAAAAGGAAGTAAAAACATTTTTTTTTTCAAGTCCACGCAATTTTGAATTTTTTTTTTTTTGGCAATGGTCAAACCGATAGCGACCTTTACTAATGCAAAATTTTTTTTATATTCCTTAAATGTCAATTAAAATCATAACAAAAAATGCATATTAAAAATGTTTTTCATCTTTTTTATCTTAGTTTGAAAAATGAATAAAATTTAGGCGTCTAGACCAGAATGCCCCCTTAAAAATATAGGATTTTTTTGCAGTGAGTGGAATCCGTTTTATTTTTTTTTTACCAAAATCTATCAGCTAATATCACCTGTACCGAATCGTATGTTATTGTTCGGTTTGTCTGAAGGTTCACAAAATCTTGGTTACTCCCTAGTAACTTATGTCTTTGACGTAACAAAATAGCTCCGCGATTACAAACCAACTAAGACCACGAAAGCCTGACACTAACAAATAATCGGAAGCATCGAACTTGTGCAAACTTTGATAAAATGGTATGTTTCACCTAATAATGACAGCAATTAAATTTTTTATATGGCACTTATTACACCGCCCTCATAGTCATAATGACAAAGCGTACGAATGTTGGTTTTAAAATTGATGATGGAGTGTTATTTAGTAATTATGTAATTAAGACTCAAATTATCAGTTTTCTTAAATTGTGATCTTTTTTATATTTTTCAACGCAGTAAAACTTTGCCGGTTAACTCTTAAATGAAGTTTTCTTAAAGCTAAGGTTTTCGACGTCATCAATAGATCGCTGCAAGGAGCAGTACTTTCTTTGAGGAACATGAGTTCTATTCGAAGTATATAACTTCTACGTAAGCGTAAAGAGGAATCCGTAGTGTAGGTGATATATATTTTTGGTAAGAAGCAGCACATGTATTGAATTACTTGAGGTAGTAGGAAAAATTTGGTCGGTATTGTAACAAAAGTATTTACTTTTTCGTTAAAGTTATGAGCAAAAACGACGAAATCACATTTAATATACTCTAACTCTTACGAGGATTTAAAGTATAGCCTGCTTATGATTTGCAAAAAAATAAAGTACTTCAATTGGCTAAAAAAAAAAAATTTCAAAGCTAAATTTTTATTGAACAATTAAAACTGCAGAAACCATACAGACAAAATTTGTTCGGGTTAACACAGGGCATATCAGCACCGTTCTTAGCTGACAGTGGAAAGCTTTCATGGAAAATACCAAAAATATTAAATGAAAAGGTGAATATAAAAATGTCTACCTCCCGGTTTGACAGGTTCTGTTTATTTGTCTGACCTGCACAATAGTAAGAATATTGTGAATTGGCATATAAACTTGTGCCAAGGGCAATGCGCTCTTAAAGAGTTCCGCTTGCGACGCAAAACTGGCTCTTCCAAAAATATTGTGATTGTTTTAAAATTAATACAATTTAAATAAAAGATAAATTTAATTTACACTTTTCCGTTGTTTACGAAAATGAAATTATACGCCTATATACAAACATACATACTGTAAATATGTATCGAACAAGAAATACTTTTTTAGTTGTGCTTTAAATCAGATGCAACTTTGGCTGACGTACACATTTTGAGTTCAAACTTTTATGTTTCGCTTGGAAAACTGGTTTAAACGTTTACGAATTTATTAATTTGTCGGTAATTAGAATAAGTTTAGGCATAGCAGCAATTATACACATCAAGACGGGGAAACTCGAAATTTGCAATTCACAAGAAACCATAAAAGAATGTTGAAAGCTTCTATACTAGATTGTATAAAAAATTAAGCAGGCCCAGAAATAAATTATGCACAAGAAAAGACGTTAACTTCGGCTGCACCGAAGCTTTAATATGCTTCACAAGTGCATTTCTTATAGGGTATTTTAAAGGGTATAAAATAAACTTTATCTTTATTTTGATCAGTCAGTTTGTATGGCAGCTATATGCTATAATGGCCTGATCTTAACAATTTGTTAGAAAATTGTAGCGCAGTCTGACCTCATCTGACAGCTGGACAATAATCCATGCCAAATTTCGTGTAGATATCAAGTAAAATAAAAAAATTTTGCATACAGGCACTTGATTTTAATCGGTCAGTTTATATGGTAGCTATATTCTTTAGTAGTCCGATATCCGCTGTTTCTACAAATGCGCAGCTTCTTGGGGATAGAAGGACTTGTGCGAAATTTTAGACTGATATCTCAAAAACTAAGAGATGCATATATAATATAAAATAAAACGAAAAATGTTTAATCTTCATCAATATTTATTTTGTCGTCTTCAAAATATATATGTATATATTCGAGGGATGCTTTTGCGCCTCAAAATGCTCAAATAATACTCTTTATTGACCGTCTGCCCCGTTGGAACGAATTCATGTTGAACCAAACCACGAATAGCAAAAAAAAAAACTATTTCCGGAAACTTTTTGGTCATAATGTACAAACGGATAGCCAAAGCGGTTTTGGAACTGTGAGTGAACATAATTCCTGAGGCCAAGAAAATAATGGAATCGTAAATAGCCTACACATACAAGTATTATTAGTAAGAACATCAGTCGAGTCCGAGTAAGTAATCTGTACTAAAAGAAAATATAGGACAAATAATGGGGAACAGAGTAAACGGAGAGCATGTAAGCTAAATGAGAAAGAAAATCAATCAAGCTCTTTGAGTGTATGAGTATTCTGGGCATGACATCTATGTATGTATCTATGTGCATTAGGGTGGAGCGAAAAAGTCCAGTTTTTTTTTGCTTAACGTGAGGATAAAATTTTTAGATTATAAAAAAAAAGAAAATTTTTGGAAATAAATTTTTTTTAAACCTATATTAACTCAGTTTTAAAGTAAATTTTCGAGTTAAAATTTTTATTTCGTAAAATTTTTTGATAAGTGTTCTAGAAGCTGTGGAGAGTCCTCTTTCTGGCCAAGTAAAAGTTATCAACTTAAACAAATTTTTTGTGGTCATTATTGAAGTTTAAAAAAAAGTCTTAAACGACAACCTGCTTTCCTTAAGCGTTAAAATAAATTTTGAGTCAAAAACCGTCACATTCGGTAATGTTTATATAAATGTGAAGAGTTTACAGCAAAAATAATTTTTTCTTGTCCAAGAAAAATTTTAACTCGAAAGTTATTTACTTTAAAACTGAGTGGGCCGCTTCAAGATGTTAAAAAATTTTGTTTTTGTCCAAAAATTTTCTTTTCTTATAATCTACAAATTTTACCCTCAGGCTAAGTAAAACAATTTTTTTTTACGCTCCACCCTAATGTAAATATGTGTAGTACCCAAATCTGTAATATGAAACGCTCGAATAAAAAATTAGCAAATCCTACACTACATACAAATATAATTTTATAATAAAAGTTAAAAGAAAAAATTGATTAATTAATTATTAATAAGTTTAGATATTTTTTGCATTATATCAATCAATTAATAACGACGCATTAACCAACTTTATTTTATTTAGCAAACCCTCGGTTTCAAACGGAACATCAAAGGATCTTTGGTACGCAGTATCAGCTCAGCTATAAGTATCGGCTCCGTCGTGCCAACACCCACAAACTCGACCTCAAAATGGCGTAGCACATTTATTACGATACTTTTCACCTCCAACAAGGCGAAACGTTGACCAATACAGTTGCGTGGACCAGCTGAAAACGGTATATACGCGTAGGGGTTCATTTTCTTTCCAACATTTGCAATATCGAATCGTTCTGGCTTAAAGATGTTCGCTTCGGGATAAATACACTCCTGCCGTCCCAAATAGAGAGGCGAAATACCGATATTTGTGCCAGCTGGCAAAATTTTGCCATCTTACAAAGGAAGAGAAAAGGAAAAAAAAACTATTACCAATACCCAAAGCACGCAAAAAAAAGAAGCTACGCACTTATTTCACACTCCTGCGTTACTTTGCGACCCAAGAGCGGCACCGAGGGAAACATGCGCAACGTCTCCTTGATGCACAACTCCACATAAGATAATTTGTTTAACGCTTCATAAGTCACCGGCTTGCTTGTGTTCTTGCCGAAAATATCGACAATCTCCGCGTAGCACTTCTGTTGACACACCGGATAGGTGGCAATGTTGTAGAAGAAAAAAGTGATCGCCGATGAGGTGGTGTCGTGTCCCTCGAACATAAATGTGTCCACCTCTTCGCGTATATCCAAATTGCTCAATGGCTTGCCGTCGATCTGCGAGCGCAGCAGAATGTCGAGAAAGGCTTGTTTGCGTTTGGCGCCCACATCGGCGTCATTGTCGGTTGCGTTATAAGCGTTCGTGTGTTTTTTATCTGCGGCCGCATTAAGCGTGTTTTCTTGTGCGCGTAGCAGTTCTTCGCGCCGCTGCATGATAATGCGCTCGGTAAAGCCGTGAAGAACTGCCAAGGCACGCTTCTCGTCGCGTGCCAATTGGGTGTACCGATAAGTCCAATCGAACCGATAGATAATGTCGAACATGCGTTTGTGTATCACGGTAGAGATGCTGTGTGTGTGGAAGGGCGGGAGGTTTGTTTATAGAAAAAATTATGTGTTTTGTAATTCGAAAAGTGAATTTCGTATATTTTCGTATTTCAGCAATTAATATGCGTTTTCAAAACGCAAAAAATTTAAACTTTTGTTTTTGCTAAGCTAAGTTACAAAAACTTACGTTTTAACGGCTTGCACGTATTCTGAATCAGCATTGGTTTGCGCATGCACAGATACACCCATGGCAGTTTCTGGCAGAGAAAAAAAAATACAAAATAAAACAGCGAATCTTTATAGATAATTTTAATAATAAGGAAGTGTTCACAATGAGCAAAGGTCACTTTATATGGCAGCTATATGCTATAGTAATCGATCGATCGGAACAACATGTTATAATATAATACACATATATGCTTAGACACTAAAGATTTTATGGAAACCAAATTCGTCATTTAAATATTTTTAATTTTTTCAATAAATGTATGTTACCGGGAAATGGAATTGGCACGTGCCAATGTCACTGACCGATGTGTGACAAAATCGATTTAAGAATGCCGAGTGTTATCACAGTTTCAGACATAATGAAACATATGTATATGGTATATTATTTATTATATATAATTACATATATATGTATTTTTTATTAAATTTTTGAGATTTTGTCTGGCCGAATGTTTTGAAAAAAAAAACACCGATATTTTACACCATCTAACTACCCCTTGGTATTTTTGAGTTTATATTCGCTTGATAAGAATTCAAGTTCAAGCTCTATGTTAAAAGCATAATTTTTGTACACAAAAATATAAACAAATTTATTTAACGTCACTGTCTGGCTTTTAATTTTTTCATTTCGCTTTTGTAAATTTTTATAAATGGGATTAAGGGGTTTAAAAGCAATGACAATGTTTATTTATAACATAACTATTTGCAAGAGTTCTAAGTTATTATTTCTTGTTTTGCGTTGAGGTTTTGGTTTTGAAATTAAAGAAATCTACCTAATATCAAATCTACCAGCCGATTACAATCTTTCTGGCTCGCCATCCCAAAGCCTTTATACTGTTCCATGAGAAGTATAATTATATGACTACCAGCCACATATAGGCCAGCACATAGCCTTGAGCACACCTATACTTTTAGTGCGCAGAACATAAACACACAACACTTTACCACAAATCGTATCCAGCGTGCAGAGATTTATCCAGTCGTATAAATTGAAACCAGTGCTGCCCTGCAAACGACGCTCGCGCTCCAAATTGACGATCAAAGCGCGTGATTCCCGCTCAAAAACTTCAATAAATTGATCTAAGATTTTGAAGTGAAAAGCCGGTGTTATGGCCTTACGCCGCTTATGCCACTTGCGTCCACCACTCACAAGCAATCCCTCTTTTAGCCATGGTTCCAGCCTTTTATACTCGCCCGCTTTCTCAATAAATGCCATCGAACCCAAAACCGCCTCCACATCCTTCACATCGGCCATGATTATATTCAGTTCGGGACCCAGCCAAACTTTCATAGTATTACCATAGATGTCAAGTAATTCACGCAGTTTTGCGATTTGCACATGTGCTGGCTTATTGACGAAGTAATGCGCATGTCCTATAATGGGCAATGTCGGCGCAGAGGGTATATCGCGTGTCACATCAATCAAATGTTTAAATTTCAATTTGTATATTAGCGCAGCGGTGGTAAGAACCGTCACGATTGCGAGCAAACCGAGCATGAGGAACATTTTTGAAACACTGAATTCTTGTCCGGTAATTCCAGAGATCCCAATGGGCGCAGTCTTATCAGTTGGTTGAGTTTAACAGTGGCTACTGAAATTACTTGATAAACTCTATACTGTGACCTTATCAGTGGATTTACATTAATTGTACCAATATACACTTGAATGGCTATTTTTGAGCTAACCCAGCAGCGAAATCTAACACAATCGAGCACGCATCAAATATAAAAACAAATTAAAAAAAAAAAGCTAAAGTATATCTGAAAATGAACTGATGCAAACTATTGTAGTTACACGCGCTGTCGTAGGTCTAAACCTATGAAGGCATTGCAAGCTAGCAGCTTTCTTCTCTCATTAAGGAGAATTTAAGAAAAATGGTATGCGAAAAAGTTGCCACCACAGTCTGACGCAGAGTGTTATTAGGAGCCTGGAGAAGAATTTTCATGTCACTTTACAAACGTTAAGAGAAAAATGCTTTTATTTTTACAAAAAAAATCGTATAAGGTTATTCATATTCTCATTTTTTGGTATTGTAATGACCTTAAACATTTAAGTTGGGTCCACAATCATATGAAGTCCTAAAACACCAAATGAGGATAACGTATACTTCGCATGCCTTACACTTACTAAAGGCAGAACTTTTAAATCCCTACTCTTTTTTACGAGAATTCAACAAGAGTCTCCTGAACATCTTAAGTATTTTGCATAGAACAAGTCCTACATTCTTAGCAGTATACAAACTATAGCTTTGATTAATTTATTCTTGTATACCAATGTGTGATATGAATTATGGGAGGAATGGAAGCAGATGATGAAAGAGTTACCTTAGGTTTCAACAATCCTCACATTTTTACTGGAAACTCAATATTACTGAGTACTTTGTAATGGATTTTCAACGGCACACATTGGTTAAGTAGAACCAAGAGTGTATGAGATGAATTACCCTAAGTGTTACAGATCTTACTGTGAAACAAATCCACAACCTGCGAAATATTTACCGAAAATCTAGCTATATATGTGTGCATATGTGATAAGCGACTTGAATTTTTGTAAGCTCAAGAATCTAGTAGACAGTTTGCACGTCAAAGTTCAGTCGCTGATTAATAACAACAATACAAATTGATGAGTAGTAATTATGGATTTATGAACATATATACAATTACATACATATATGTGTGTGTCTGTAATAGTGGATTATCTTTATTATTTCGGCATTAATACTTTTTAAAAAAATCGTTGGAGGCACTTAACAAGATAAGCTATATAACATCGTATATTGTTATTGATTAGAATTCCAAACAAAACCAAACCAATAACAAAACCAGTTAGACCAAAATAAAAATATAACAGCAGTATTTTTTTTTATTTTCTCAAGCGGGTACTCATAAAATAAATGAGTAGGTTTATTTAGTGCAAAGGAGCATGCCGATTTTCTGGGGGGTAAATTAATCAGCGAATGGCAAACTAAAAAATACAAGAAGATTAAACTCCCTGCAAATTAACAACCACACATATTCAATGCCAAGTGTTTAACTAGACATGATCACGAAGATTAGTTGTAAACGCCGCGACGGAGAAGTTTATCTTATCACCATCAAATAAATCAAAAGTTAATTTCTACAAAAATGAAAAGATCTAACGGCAAATTTACTAATGACGGCTTGAAAAAGACAACCTTTCTGGTTTACGCAAGCGAGGATAATTAGTGTAAGCCCAAAATTCCATAATTCAAGTTTAGCTAAAGCTACACAATTGAGGTCCAATATCTATGCTTAGTGCTAACAGCGAAAAAGATTGGAAAGCAATTTGAGACTCTCATACAATATAAACAGCGCGGGTTAGAGGGTCTGGAGTTTTAATGCCGCACACAAGAGCCTCTAAAATTGCAGCAAAAGAGACTTTCGAGCGACGATCAACATTAAGAGATTTCTTCATCAAATAAATACTCATTTCATTCAACAATAGTTCCAAGGCATTTGTAAAGCGCAGTAATGTTTTGTAGAAACCATAATTTGTGGTATGATATATAAGTAAATATACAAGGTAAGGAATGATATGAAAAATTATTCGAACAAAAAACTTTTTATACATGCTACAGTTAAGGTCAATTCGCAAAGTCTGTAAGTGTAGCGAATCGAACAAACAGCTGGTATATATCAAGCAAGCGCTTATACCATTTTAATGAACTTTTTTTTTTTTAAAATAAGACATCAAAATTTTCAAAACCCTATACAAAACTATGAACAAACTGAATTTCTGGCTCGAATTATTGTTTCAGGGTTTACATGGGTTTCGTGGAGCAAAAAAGGCAATATAATTATTTTTTCGAATAAAAAGATTTGGAGAAATTTTCAAAGGAAAATATGCAAAACTCCGTCATTACGACGTCATTTCCGGCAGGCCCTCAAAAAAATAGTGCTTCAGCTTTGAGAGCAGAACTACTGACAGCATCAACAAAAGTAAAAAAGAAAAAATACGTGTTTGAACTAAGACCATTAACTAGGCATTGGACGAAGAAAAAACAAAAAAAGTGAAAATTTAATTTTTGGCAAACGTTTTTACAAAAATATGCAAATTTTGTTGAACATTTCTCGAGGTTTTTGTTTTTGATTAGTTGTAATTGAACAAAAAAAAATGCACCGCGGCAAGACCTTGTAAATTATATCTCAAAGACCTGTGTAAAATTTCATTAAGAGCGATTGAATAGTTTGTGAGAAATCTTGACAAACGACTTTGAAAACACAGTGTCGAGAAAAACGCGTTTAAAGTTTTCAGTGACTATATAGCTAACCTCGAGCGCGCAACTTCTCAAAGCTGTATCTCCAAAACTATTACTGCGATCAGCTTGAGAATTTAGTAGAATATTAGAGTTGTTATAGAATTAAATAAAACAATAAAAAAATATTTGTTTGAGCCCATGTAACCACTTAAGCCAACGGTACAATCTCTGATTAAATTGTTTAAATCGGACAACTTTAGCATATAGCTGCCATATAAACTGACCGAACCAAATCAATATCAAGAAAAGATCGTCCTATTTATGCTACAAGAAATGCAGCTGGTAGTAGTACCTGAAGGGTATTAAAGCTGCGTTGCAGCCGAAGTTAATGCTTTTTCTTGTTTTCAATTTATTTAATTATTATTATTTATTTTAATTTATATACGACGGAAGCTGTGAGAATATGAAGCAATATATCGAAAATATTGAATTGTAAAATTATTTGCTCTTAAATTAATGCTGTCGAAATCTGCGTCAGCACAAAGGAATGCACATATCTTACGCACGATTTGCAGAAACATAGTATACCTAGCCATAGTAAATATTACAAATACATACATATAATATATAATTGCCTACATACATATCTATAAACCATCAGTATATCTACAAATACTATGTCATTGTTGGAAAATTTGTAGCATTTGCTTTTTGCGAAAAATTTTCCACGTCTTGCAATACCATAAATGTGAATACACGCATATAACTCAAGATCAAATTTGACTTGGACTGTTCATGTACATATATATGTACATACATATTTATATGTAACTAAGCATATAGTGTATGTGTGCTCGTAATATGCTTGACTATCCGACGCTCGACGCTCGACGCCATTGGCGAAAGGAAAACAAAATTTCAATGATTTCCATTTTACGCCGCTTACACGAGGCCGTGCAAAAATATGCAAAACAATTGGAAAAATTAAATAAACAAATAATAATAAAAATGATTTGCACCAAAATAGACCAAAGCTCCAAAAATAACGCGAACTAGCTAGCAATAAGCTAATAATAACTTTAGCAGTGTTGCATTAGCTCGTCATTAAGCGTTGTATTCATGTGTGACGTAAAGCAAACAAGTGCCGTACACCTGGCTGGAGGCGTAAACAAACATTATTTGGTATGTATGAGCGAGTGTGTTTACATATGTGGAATGTGAATGTGCTACTACTATTTCCGTTGATTTATCATTTGTATACGCGTAAAATTTACGAACGCGCCAATTCCCGTTCAAGAACAATACCCACAATGATAACAACGTTAATGTTAACGTCATGCGGCAAGAAAACAAAATGGAAGAAAATAAACGTCAGTTGGCATACCATGGCGGTGAGTCACCGGCATTAGCGCATACAAGAAGATCAGCCGAGATCCAAAAACACAGCGAATACGTCCGTTGTTGTTTGCCTTTTTACTTTCACAAAGATCCGGCCGAACGCGACGCGGCCCACCGCTTGCTCTCTGTCAAGGACGGCCGCTTCATGTTGTTTTTGAAATGTTCTTGATCTCCTCTATAGCTAAATTATGCATATAGATATCTTTATTTATCTTTTATGTTTATAAGTATGTATGTATGTATAGTTGTGCGGACATGTGGTCAAGTACAGGCATGCAAGATGTAGGCTAATGATCAAAAATTCGGCAAATTCCATTGTTCTAGTACTTTTGCTTATTGGAAAATTTTTTTACATTTCATGTAGGTGGGGTATAGATAAAAATCTGTATTGCTCAAATTTACTCGTATGAAAACATGGCAACAGGAATGAATGAATGTGGGCGAATATTTTTTGGGAGTAATTACTAAGCACTGTCAGAAGTAAGTAAAGAAAGCCACTAAGAAAAAGCACTGAATTTTCTCGACCAATCCATACATTAAATATGAAACTATGTATGTGTCAAAAACGACTATAACTGTGGAATTTATACGGAGCTGCGCGGTTATCCCGTTAGATCTACATTCTTTTACAAACAGTTCACTGGCTACCCTGGCAGTATATAAGAAAGCGCAGTAGGTCGTTTCGTCACGCCAATTTGTGGATTACCTGTGACTTTTCAAGCCGTTAGCTACGCTGGCTGGCCTGGCGCTATATAAGAGAGCCCGGTAGTCCGTTCAGACAGGTCAGTCTACAGGCAAGTGATGTCATGTGTTAACATCATATGATGTACCTGTGACTTTTCAAGCCGTTAGCTACGCTGATTGGCCTGACAGTATATAAGAAAGTGCG